TCACAGCAAAGAATTTCTCCCTAAGATCTAGTCTAAATCTCCCCTTGATGTCCCACCAAGGCTTCCTTTATCCCACTTGGCACTACTGAAACAGGGAGAGTGGTAACACGGGGGAAAGTGGGGGTGTCAACTCAAGAGACCCCAAAAGACCCCCAAGGGATGCCACCAAGTGCCAGCTCTCTTCCTCCAAGGTACCCCCAAAGCCCTCGGGCAGCCGCTTGACTCTGTGGAGACCGGGAGGTAGAGAATAAGGTGCTGCAATGCAAACAGAGAGCTGAAGAACAACAAAACCTCTTCCTGCCCAGTTTATCTGATGCTGACAGCCCAGATGGAGGACCAGCCCTGTTCTGCGGGCACTGGTTACACCGCCTTAGCAACAAAGCACAGCCCGGGGTTGGACTCCTTCCCCAGTGCCAGGAACTGCTCCAAACCATTATCACACTTCCACCAGCATCGACCACGAGTGACTCACTGCCCCGGAGAGCAGAGGAACCACCATGCCCAGTAAGAATGGGTGGGAAGAGAGGAAAAAGAGAGCAGCAGGAGGTGGGAGCCCCAGCAGGGCAGGCGTTTGCTCCGGAGCGTGCAGCGAGGGGAGGGAGGAGCAGAGCGAGATGATGGTCTCCTCTCTGGCACTTACACCTTCCGGTCGTTGAGCAACATCCCATTCATGGTCTCGATGGCCCGAGTTGCTGCCTCGTGAGTCTCAAAGTGAACAAAGCCATAGCCACGGGACCCGTTTTCATCACAAACCACCTACAAACGCAGAGCAAGGAGGAGCAGGGGGCGGGGGAAGAACCCAACCCCAAACCAGACAGACATTGGTTTTCTCCATGCCTGCACATGAGTAAGTTGCAGGAAAACCCACCCTCATTTTCCAGGGGCGTTTGCCCTCCCTGACATCCCACTCCCACAGTGGCTGAGCTGTGTTTGGGTGCTGACAGCAGGGCAGGGAGCCGGGAGAGCCAAGGACCAGGCACCCAGTGCTTTATATGGTGCCCAAGAGCTTGTGGCTCACCAAGATGACCCAAGTGCCATCGCTGAGCTGAGCTCATGGAGGACAAGGCACATCCCTGTGCAGGGACTAGGAGGCAGGGGGAAAGCCCCCATTGCCAGGGGAAACACAGCAGGGACTTTGAGCTTCAGAGCAGGTGGGATTTTAGAGGAAGCTTTGTAGGAAGTGAAACGAGAAAGTGAGTTTCAGCTGGCAGGAGCACGCTGCCCAGAACATGGGCAGCCAGCCCTTTCCTGCAGGACCCATGTACCTTGCACGACAGGATGTTTCCAAAGGCAGAGAACGTGTCGTACAGGGCTTTGTTATCAATGGAGTCATCCAGGTTCTTGATGAAGACGTTTCCAACCCCCGACTTCCTGAGCCCGGGGTCCCGCTGGGACCACATGATGCGGATGGGGCGGCCTTTGATCACTTCGAAGTTCATGGTGTCCAGGGCTCGCTCAGCTGGAGAAGAAGTGAAGACAGGGGGAGAGGGGAGGGTAACAGAGATAGATCCCCCTCACATCCTACAGCAGCTGAGACAGGCACAGGAGGCAGGGATACTGTTGGACAGGAGCTCGTTAACCTAAACGAGACAGGCAACGCTGCCTCCCAGGGCAGCAGGGCCAGGCAGGGGCTGCTCTGCTCCCCTCCCGCCACAACACTCATTCCTTTTATATTTTTTTTTTT